GCATGAGCTCGCTTGTCTCAAAAGGTGAGAAGTCTGCCCATCAATAAGGCTAAATAGGCTCGCAGGACAACAGAAGGAGGGTAAAGGATGACCCTTGCCCAAAGCATGAAAATGGTCAGTCATTCCGTTGGGATAGGGTGGCCGACCGAAATCCATAATGATGCAGTCGATCAATTGACCGTTTAGCTGGTAATCAGGAAATGCCGAGACCCACTCAATTAAAGGTTTCGATGTCAAGAAATTGTGGAAGCTATTCATAACAAAGAATAATTCTAAATGGCTCCGTCGATGAAGACTAGAGCCTTCCTTTGGAACACCAACAAGTTCTGCAAGTATCATAAAGACTATGGCCAAAATATGGAGGAGTGCAAGCACCTTCGTAGCTTGGTTGAAGAGCTGATTTGGTAGGAAAGCTCAAAGAGTTCATGGCCCCAAAGCACACAATCGGCGACAAGGAAAGGTATCTGTAGAAGATGACTCGAATGGATCTATCCGATTTAACGCTATCCACATCACGGGGATAGCGTTGACTATACTTGGAGGGGACTTAATCAAAAGACCCGACAAAAAAAGAAGCTGAGCGGGGGAGTTCTTTACGATTTCTTCCGTTTGAAAGAGGAACTCCCTTACTAACACCAACTTACCGTCCACAGAGAATCCTTACAACAACACCATCATTGTTACAATGATGATTAATAACTATCAGGTTGGTAGCATTTTGGTTGATACAGGTAGGTTGGGGAGCATCCAGTTCAAATCCGCTTTCGACAAGATGAACCTATCAAATGATTGTCTGGTTGAGCCAACCGACCCTCTATTTAGGGTTTCTTTATAATAGAAGGAAGCTTTGAGCATAATTGGGCTGTCAATCCCAAAGAGAGGGTGACAACAAATTTACCAATATGGATGACTTTTTGGTGGTGGATGTGCCACCAACATGCAATAGATCTTTTGTCTCTCATTGCTTAATAATTTCAAGGCCATGGTATTTACTTACCACGTAGTGGTGAAATTTTCTTAGAAAGAGGAAATTATGGTTGTGTGTTGGAACTTGGAATAGTTTTGGACGTGCTACCTTCGAGAGGTAGGGAGCATGGATCAAGGAACGTTGGACATACAACACTAACAAGAACGGAGTGGAGACCGAGGAAACCACCATTGAGATCCCCAAAGAACTCGATAAGCCTGGTAATGTTTTTCTACTTAGTGAGACTTTTGATGCAGGTCACAAAGATTCATTGATTAGGACTATCCACGAGCACCCTGATGTCTTTGCCTAGTCGGCCACTGAGATGTTTGACATCCCTATAGATGATGCTTGTCATTGCCTCAATGTCAGTCCAGTCGTACGTCCTATAAAACAAAAGATTCAGTCGCCTACCATGACATTAGCCATATTCATTCACGAGGAGGTACAAAAGCTTAAGGATGCGGGCTACATCTAAAAGGTACAATATCCCTTCTGGATTTCTAATGTGGTCATGGTAAAGAAATCCAAAATCAAATGGAGGATGTGTGTGTTATGCCACAAATCTAAATGCAGCTTATCCCAATGATTGCTACCCCCTACCGAGGATTGATGCATTGGTGAACTATGCAATCAGACATTTCGTCATGAGTTTCTTGAATGCTTTCTCCGACTACCACCAAATCAAGATGCACCCGACCAATACTAAGAAAGCCACTTTTATTACAAATGAAGGATTGTATCGTTTTATTATAATGCTCTTTGGGCTAAAAAATATTGGTGTTACTTACGAGAATCTTATATATTTAATATTTTATGAGCAAAAAGGGCAAAATTTTGAAATGTATGTTGATGATATTCTAATCAAAATTAAGTCGGCTGAACAACATATAAATGAATTAAAATAAACCTTCTAGACTCTCAAAAAATATAATATGAAATTAAATCAGCTAAAATGCACATTTGAAGCTTCAATCAGGAAGTTTTTAGGGTATCTTCTGACGCCCAAAAGAATAAAAGCTAATTCTAAGATAGTAAAGACACTCTTGGATATGTCTTCCCCCTGGAATACCAAGGACATGCTAGAGCTGACAGGCCAAATAGCAGCACTTAGTAATTCATTTTCAAATTTGGCAATAAATGCATTGCTTTCTTGAAAGTACTAAAAAAAAGCCAAAAAATTTGAGTGGTTGATCAAATTTGAGCAAGCCTTCTAAAGTTTGAAGCACTCACTGATCTCGCCTCTGCTTCTATAAAGCTCAGAATCAAAGGAAAAACTCTCATTGTATCTAGGAGTTGGGCAAGATACCATCAATTTCGTCCTACTTTGAGAGGAGCTGGGGAAAAAAGTTCCATCTACTACACTAGTCAGATCCTCAAAGGAGCCAGGATCAAATACCCAATTATGAAAAAGCTAACATTTGCTTTTTTACTATCTTAACTTCAGGCTCTAGCCATATTTTCAGACGAATTTGATCATATTAGTTACCGACCATCAGCTCAAGTCTGTACTCACTAACCCACAACACTCCAATCAACTCTTAAAATAGGTTGTAGAACTTAGTGAGTACAACATTAATTACATTTCCTGAATGGCGATTAAGGCTCATGCTGTGGCAGACTTGCTAGCCAACTTTTCCTAACATGACAGCTCGAGCGATGGTGTCGAAATGAGCGAACAAGATGGGACCCTAAACATTGATGGGGCCTCCAGGCAAGCGAGTGTAGGAATCAGGATGGCTCTATGCAGTCCGACTTGGGGGCTTCTCTATCATTCGGTCGCAATAGATTTTGAGGTTACGAATAATCAAGTGGAATACAAAGCACTAATAGTCGAACTACGCTTAGCCCTTAAAATGTGTGTTTGACATCTAATGGTTAAGTCAAATTCTCAACTTATTGTCAACCAAATCAATGGAGAATTTGAGGTTCAGGACGGGATGATGGTCAAATATCTGAACAAGGCAAACATGGAGATAAAAATGTTTGTGAAATTCTGAATGAAACATGTTGTATGGGAAGAAAACTAAGTGGCTGACTTACTATCAAAAAACATATGCTTTGGAGAAAATATGCCATGAAAGATTTTCTGACCAACCATAGAAGAGATAGAGACAATGTAGGTGGAAGCCAAGGGTATAAAATATCGGATGGATCTTTATGTACATTACCTAAATATGGGAAAGATCCTTGAAGAA